ATGAAGGGTCTCTCATTTTTTAAAGTGATTTTCCTATAGAATCTAAGAATTATGCTTACCAATGTCTCTTAAATTTCTTAGAAGTTCGTGTCATCTAATTCTCAATTGGATTTCTTTGGCTTCCCTTGCCCCAGTGGTATGAAAGTTTTGGCTCATTTTTTTTGGTACTTGATTTGGTAATCTCAGATCCACCTCGATTAATTGCCTTCTTTTTCCTATGTTTTGACTTATAAATTGAAAGTTAGCTTGAAAATTCTTGATATAGGGCATTCTCGTATTTTGACTGAAAAAGAAGAAGAAGAAGAAGAAGACAATGGCCTTTATGGCGTTTGCCTTTTAATTATGACACTTTGTAGATTTAGAAATGTGTTATTTTGAAAACTTTTGTCATTGTATTTTGTTACTTTGAGGAGAAAACATTATTTTTAGATTGGAAACTCCTTTGTATCATTTGTAGTTGTGACACGATAGTTATGTGATATTTACAAATAGGATATGATTTATTATGATGTAATAATGTGTGATGTTCACAATGCGATATTTTATATTTTGAGAATTCTCATGATATTGATGTGCCTTAGAGGCTTTGTGACATGCTCTTGTGACATGCGTTTTTATATTTTCATATTACTAGTGTAAAATTTTTAGCTTTTGTAGTATGTTATGTTGTTTATTCCTCTAGTTGGTGATATCTTATATTACTCGTTTGTATTTATATGTATCTTACAAATTTGCTTTAAGTAGCTTGTGTTAAAATTTAGTTACGACAATATGTAGATTTTCTAAAAAATATACATAATATTGTAAGCATCTCAATTTCTTAAGTTCTTATATGAATTGAGAAAGATACATATAATATCATAGAAAGTAAGAATATTGGATATAATTATCTAATAATAACATTCAATCATCATTTCCATAATCCTTATACAAGCACCATATATTGAATAAGTACACTTGTCACGTTAAATATTTTGTTTATGTATGATAAATTTATGAATTAGAAAGTATAAAAATTATGCAAATAATATTTTAATATAATTAAAGGTTATATGTGTAACACCTTAAATTTAATTTCAAATAAATAATAATTTTACAAATTTGAAATAATAAAAGTTTCATAAAATATTTCAAAATAGGGAAAAGGTTACAAGTTTATATCAAATAACTGCTACAGGACCATTTCTAATACAACAATCTCAAAATAACTCTCAAAGCCCTATAGTAGTTCCATCCAACCCTTCACTGAGTCCGGTGCTGATCGTCTTGATTACCTGAAAAATGATTGTAAGGGTAAGTACTCCACACTACCCAACACACACACAAAAATAGAGACTCACCTCAAACGCTACACATTTACTAAATATTTAAATCATGCATTCACAAGACAAGCATCTCAATTTCAGTTACAATCATCACTCATCATCTATTTAAATTTAAAACATAACTGATACACTTATTGCACCAATATTTCACACACGTGCGCTTATCGCACCTAGCCATACTCACTGTGGCACTGTGATCACAGTTTCACACCATGAATGGTCACCGGTTACCCACGCCTCACAGATACCACGTGGGCAGTCACGGGTCACTCAGCAAAGGTAGTAGTCAGAGGTCTAGTTAGGAGGAGAGTGTGTGACCCGTGGTACACCCACGCTCACTGTTGGTGTCACCACTACTCTCTTTTCCCAAGGTATTTCTACCGTCCTCATCTTCTACACCTTCAGTGTATCGCTGAACCATTCACAGCTTCATTACAACGACGTTTAGCACGCTTCAGTCACACACACAATATTTATGCTTGCACACGGCACATAGCCCACGTTCATTCACAATACTCTGCACATAGCCTACATTCATTTACATCACATGGCACTTAGGCCCATATTCATTAGTATTACACGGCGCAGAGGCCCATTTTCATTTACAACACTCGGCACATATGTCCCTATTCCGTTACGCTACATTTTCCACATTTACCTACATTTCTCATGCCATCCATACCCATTTCCAACTACTTACATTATTCAATCATCAATCAAAGATATAATCACATACATTTCAATCAAGGGTATGTCAACCCAATCACAATCAACTCACATTACATTCAAACACATAATAATTTCTATCAACACACTCATTCTTACTCTCTATCTCAATCACATTACAAAAGCATAACAATTAAACAAATTTTCAAGCAAATGAGATAGGGTAAAGTCCACCCCTTACCTTGGATTGAAGACCCACACGCAAATTGACCCAAGGAGATGCTCCCCCTACGGATTCCGTCTTAAATAAACGAAAGAATTCCATGAGAACCCAGGAAAATCACAAAAACAGGAAAGGGAGTGAAAAACCAAAACCCTAACCATTAAAACTCACCTCCAAACATTTCCAACATGAATCCAACCTTCAATCTAGCTTCTGAACGACTTTTGAGGCAATTCAATCAGTGGAATAGGGTTGTGATCGAGAGAATCAAAATATTTTGAAGGGAATGTGAAAAAATAACCTTTCTCGAATTCTAACCCCTTTTAAATCCTCTCTGGTTGCGACACTCGCTGCAGCGATACCCTCCCTTTCTACAGTAAAAAAATCAGACAAAACTGCATTATGGTTTCTGCAGAATCTCGCTACAGCGAGACTGCACCCAGAAATGCATCCCAAACTGTGGCTTTGTCGTTACAGCGAGAAACCTCTTGCTACAGCGACAAGGCGACAATTTCATCCTTCTTTCCCAGTGCTCTCTCGCTGCAGCGAGAACACTATGCACCAGAACACTTAGCCAAAATTCAGTCCAATCCCAATCATCCAATCATCTATAAATATAAATACACTACACAGAAAAGTCAACGTAAACACTTATATTAATAATCAACTATATTATAAAATTTGAGGCATTACAACTCTCCCCTCCTTTAGGAAAATTTTGTCCTTGAAATTCAAACAAACGACCATGCAATTTACACAAACAATTCTGGATATAATTCTCTCATTCTATTCTTTGTTTTCCATGTGACATCCCCTTCATCACTTGAACTCCATATCACCTTTACCAATGAGATCTCCTTGCCCCCTCAATTGTTTAACACAGTGATCGGCTATCCTCACCGGATACACCTCATAAGATAAGTCTTCACTTACTTGAACCGAGTCAAGATCGATCATATGAGAAGGATCTGACACATATTGCCTGAGTTATGACATATGGAATACCGGATATAGGTTTGAGAGGTTCGGAGGCAATTTTATCCAGTATGCAGTAGGACCAATTCTACTCAGCATTTCGAATGGCCCAATGAACTTAGGAGATAACTTCCAAGATTTCAGAGCTCTCCTAACTCCGGTTACAGGTGAGACCTTTAAAATGTTGTTTCTAGTATCATGATTTTTTTGGTCTTCGCCAAACTGGACACAAAGTCCATATAAATGTTGTCCCACTTCCACTCAGCGATCTCCATCGGTTGTAATAACCCAGGCGGACGTTCGTGTTTGACTTTCGCCTTCTGGCAAGTCAGGCATCTAGCCACGTATTCAGCTACATCTCTTTTCATTCCACTATACCAAAAACTCTTCTGGAGATTCTGGTACATTTTGATCGCACTGAGGTGAAAACTCATTCTGCTTCTATGTGCTTCCTCAAGTACCACTTGTCTTAATTCATCCACTTAGGAAATGCACACTTGGTTTCAGAACTTAATCACCCTGTTTCCATCACAATGGAACTCCAAGTTCTTGCCTTCATTCCTCTATCTTATCATATCTTGTACAAAAGCATCTCCTTGCTGCGCATCTTGGGCGCACACCAAGAAGTCGTTATAAATCGTCGTCGTTCTGAGATACAAACTCCCTAGCCTCACCTCCATGGCTAAGTTCATGTCTCGAAATTCCTCAATCAACTCTATTTCTTTTACCATTATCATTGCCACATGCAATAACTTCCTGCTCAAAGCGTCAGCTACCACATTTACCTTGCCAAGGTGGTAAGATAATGTAAAATCATAGTCCTTGAGGAATTCCATCCATCTCCTCTGCCGCATGTTCAACTTCCTCTGATCAAACAAATACTTCAAGCTCTTGTAGTCACTAAACATCTCAAACCTTGCTCCATACAGGTAGTGTCTTCATACCTTAAGGGCAAAGACCATCGCAGCTAACTCCAGATCGCAAGTCGGATAGTTGACTTCATGCGGGCGTAACTGTCTTGAGATGTACGCAACCACTCGTTTGTCTTGTATTAAAACCCACTCAAGTCCTTGCCCAGATGCATCACAATACACATCAAACTTCCTCTTTAGGTTGGGCAAAACTAACACGAGCGCTAACATCAACCTTATTTTCAGCTCTAAGAAACTAGCTTCACACCCATTGGTCCATTTAAATTCTTTTCCCTTGCGAGTCAGCTTCGTTAAGGGCAAAGCTATCTTAGAAAATCCTTCAATGAACTTCCTATAATAGCCCGCTAAACCCAAAAAACTGCGGACCTCAGTCACATTTGTCGGTCTCGGCCACTCAGCTACTACTTCCACCTTTGCAGGGTTTACCATGATCCCTTCCTTCGACGCTACGTGCCCCAGGAACTGAATCTCTGATACCCAGAACTCACACATGGAGAATTTCGCATATAGTTGCCTCTCCTTCAGAATTTGTAAAACAATCCCCAAGTGCTTGGCATGCTCTTCCTAAGTCTTCGAATAAATAAGGATGTCGTCAATGAATACCACAACAAACTTATCCAAAAACTCATGGAAGATTCTGTTCATGTAACCCATGAACATCGCAGACGCATTGGTCACTCCAAACGGCATCACCAAGTACTCATAGTGACCATACCGCGTCCTAAACACTATCTTAGGTACATCTGCATCCTTCACCCTTATTTGATGGTATCCTTACCTTAGGTCAATCTTAGAAAACACCGCAGCTCCTCTCAACTGGTCTATCAAATTGTCAATCCTTGGAAGCGGATACTTGTTCTTGATCGTCACCTTGTTTAACTATCGGTAGTCCACACACATCCTCATACTCCCATCCTTCTTCTTTACCAGGAGCACTGGTGCTCCCCACGGTGACACACTCGGTCTCACAAATTGTATCTGCAATAAATCCTCCACTTGCTTCTTAACCTCTGCCAACTCTACTGGTGACATCTTATAAGGTGCCACAGAAATCGAGTTTGCCCCCGGAATAAGGTCAATAGCAAACTCTATCTCTCTCTCAGGCGGTAACTCAGAAATATCTTTAGGAAAAACTTCCAAGAAATCCCTCACCACAGGGATGTACTCCGGCTCTACGACACTTTCAGTCTCCATTGAAAATATCACCATAAAGACCTTAGCATTTACCGTGTTCTTCCATGCACCCTGACCCATAAGTCTTGGAACCTCCGTTATTGTTACACCGAAGACCAAATTCTTCTCCCTACAATCCAATAGTACATGGTTGGCAGCCAGCCAATCCATTCTTAGAATTACATCCAGTTGGGAAAGAGGCAAACAAATCAGATCTGCCTCAAATTCCCTACCATGCACCATCATTGAACACTCCAAACACACCCATGATGTCATAACTAATTTACCCGTCGGGGTAGTTACCACAACATTACAAGGCAGTTCAGTCACATACAAGTTCAGGCTCTTCACACAATCCACAGATATAAAAGAATGCGTAGCACCCGAATCAAATAACACATCCAATAATCGGCCCTTAATTACACATTTACCTCAGATTAGCTCCTCAGATTGTGAAGCCTTTGCCCCGCTCATAACAAAGACTTTACCAGGAATGCTTAGCTTCGGCCCCGTACTTGGCCCTGTGCTCCCTCTTGATTCTGGTCTCTGAGCTGTACTTGAACTGCCACTCCTGTTAGCAGCCCATCATACATTGGCATTGTGCCCCGACTTTCCACAATTGCTACAAGTTGCCCGCGACTGTGGGCAGTCCCTCACCATGTGTGGTCCTTCACACCTAAAATATTTAAGTGGTCCTCTGAAAGAGCCCAGTCTTGAGCCACTCCCACTGCTTTTCTCTTGAGATGAACTTCCTCTGAACTGTGAATTACCCAAGCCTGAGTATGGCCCCTTTGAGAATCTAGGAGGTCTCCTATCTTGCCTCATTGGACCGGCTCCCCCAGTGTCCACCATCTTCCCCCTTGAGTTAGCTTCAAAGATTCTACTCTTGCTCATCAGAGTGGGCAAGTCTGTCAACTGGAACACACTGACTGTAGCTCGGATGTCTGGCCTCAGCCTGTGCTCAAACTGAGCACACAAGTCCTTCTCACCATCCCCATGTTGGTAGTGAGGCCAGTACTTCATCAGCTCTTGGAACTTTGTTGCATATTCCTCTACTGTCATGCTTCCTTGCTTCAGTTCAAGGAATTCACGAACTTTCTGCTTCCTCAAATCTCGGGGAAAGTAATTCCCTAGGAAAATTGCCTTGAAGGTCTCCCACTGAACATAGCCATCCTTTTGTGGCAATGTCTGACCGGCAAACCTCCACCAATTTTCTGCCTCCCCACATAGCAAGTAGGTAGCATAACTCACTTTGTGCTCCTCATGGCACCCCATTGCATTGAAGACCTCCTCAACATCCGCCAACCACCTTTGAGCTCCCTCAAGGTTGAATCCTCCCTCAAACTTTGGAGGATCGTGCCTAGTAAAGGCAGACAATCCTTGGTACTCAACCGACTCTCTGCCTTGGTTGTGTACCATGGTCTCTAGAATTTGAGTCATGCGTTCTATGAGGTCATTGGAGCCTTCAGCTCCTCTATCTCTATCTCTACCAACCATGTTCAATTTATTGCTACAATAATTTAGCAAACACATTTCAGCACATCAGATCAATAACACATCTATAATTCAGGCAACAAAACAATCAACACTTACCTTGGACGCTTCAATCTGTTACCCCAGTCTGGTTTGGATGAACAGCTCTGATACCATTTGGTATCAGAGCAGGCCTCTCTCCCAGTACGGTGTGGTTCGAGGACGAGCCAAGCGTAAGCTGGTGGGCATGTGACACCTAGGCGCTAGGCGAGGGCAGGGAGTGATTGCAAGTGCAGTGTGGGTACGGACAAGGAGCCGCTCCTGGCAGGCTTCCGGCAGTAAGGGACACATGAATGAATCAAACTTACATCGGAATGAGAGGGAGATCTAGAGACTATGTATACAATTGAGGATAGATTAAAAGGAATTGACTAGGACTACCTATACCAAGAAAATGTATTTACTTTTTAGTGACCTATCACTTAAGAATTTCAAAGCTAAGCGTTCTTAACTTGGAGCAATTATGGGATGAGTGACCTTCTAGGAAGTTCTTGAGAAGTGTGTGAGTGAGGACAGAGCATACTAAAAAGTCTTGTGTTGATTTGTGGGGATACTCATCAATCCCGAATAAGTTGCCGAGCTGTTACAATATGGATTTATAATGCTAGTGTGATATTATGTTAATAAATGCATGGTTGGTCTTTGATGCTAACTATTTGTTTTCATTAATGTTTTATTTTAATTTATGTAGTCTTTGTAAGGTTGATTATGACACCTATTGTGTTTTTATCATTGTCAAATGGATATTGTTCATGGTGTAAAAGGTTATATGGTTTATGGGTCTAAGGAAGATGAAATAGGTAGGTTTTAGTAATTTTGGTTTGCTATTTCTAAAATTTAGTTGCATAAAATATTATTATTTAATTCCTAGATATCTTATCTACAATAATAAAATTGTCAAAAAAATAGCAGAAGATATGGTGCATAAAATACTCGTACCAGTGGTAATACATTGTTTAGAGCTGCACTTAGTTTTGCATGATTCCATGCTTAAATGGAGAAGGAGCGGGAAATCTTTACCACAAGCTCTTAGTATACAAGTAATATATGCATATTGATATAAAGTATATGGTTGAGTATGAGTGCGAACTTACGTATGAGTTCATTTATTATCTACTTGTAATTAGGCTTAAATCTAACTCCATATAAGTAATGATGAAGTTTTCCCCAAAATTGAACTAGCTTATCAGTATATAAGTAAATTTAATCCAATAAAAAAAAATACATAAACCTCATTCAAGTCCAATCATGAGCATAATTTAGGGGTGGCAAAATGGGTCAGTTTGCCTTACCCTGCCAAAAGCCCACCTAAAAGCATATTAGCCTGAGCCTACCCCATTCAAAACATGGGCCAGATTTTCTAGCCTAATCCATTTAAGAGTGGGCTAATAGACTAATGGGCTAGCCCGCCAAAAATTGAAAACTAAAAAAAAGTTAGTGAGCTATTGGATTAATGGGCTAGCCTATTGAAAATTAACTAAAAAAATAAAAAAATTATAATAGATAATAAAAAATTAGTTAAAAAATATTTTTATATTAATGAAATAATATTTAATTCCTTTTTTTTTTTAAAAATAAAATTTGGCTCAACAGGGCAGCTCCTCCTGGCCCATCATTGGCTTGTATTTTAGCAGGCTAAAATAGGGTGGGCTGGTGGGTTCAAAACATTCAACCCGACCTACCAATTTTGGTGTAATAAGTATGGGCCAGTCCATTTTGACACCTCTAATAGAATTTAATTGTCATATACTAAGTTCATCTATCTATTTCTATTTATTTTGGTTACTCATATGGTTGATTTATCAGTGTGGACTAGTCATTTTAGCCTAAATATTATATTTTTATTAAAGGATGCTTGACATCCTACTTACTATGGTAGAATGCGACAGTAAACAAAAGTCAAGGTATTTTACAATCTATCTCTCTTCTAACTTGTTCAAAACATTCGACTCTTTTTTTATTTGTCACCTTAATACTATAGACTTTGGCTAGGACTATAACTATGGTGAGGTGAAGGTTGTAGTTCGCAAATCATGTTACCAATGATTCAATCCTTAATCAAAATTGATCTTTAACCATGTTGTTAGAGGTTAAGACTATCTAGAATAACTTTACATCAATAAATTCTCTTCTTTGTTTCTTTTTCATGCATGATTGTTTACAATTTCTCTCTTCTTATTTTGTAGGTACAACTTCACGACACCAATGGTTTAATCCTAAATTAAATTTGATTATGAAACTGTTAAAAATTCTTTTATTTCTTCATTAAATATGCATTTATCAAGTTATTTTCTTTGTAAAATGTAAGTTGAAACACCATGTTATCAAATATATTTGATCCACCTTGCATGATGTTTGTTTTTGCATAATAATCATATTTTCTGCATTATTCACTTAAACAAATAAATTTCACTAAATCGAACATCAATTCATTGTATTTTAGCCAAGTTGGCTTAAGCAAAAATTACATTTGTTTAAGTGAATCAATTTTTACTAAAGAGAATAACAGGATTTCCATCCACTACTTTCTATTTCACTTAAGATTAATTAAATTAGCTTGACCTGCTTAAGTGAATATCATTTTGCTTAAGTGAATTACAATATTCAAATCAATGGCTCTACGTCTTAAATTTATTTAAGATTAATTACTTTTATTTGCTTAAGTGAATATAATTTTGCTTAAATGAAATAGCCTTAAACCTTTTTCTGTCTTGCTTAGACAAGTTTCACACATTGTTAAACAATTTTTTCTCGTTTAAGTTGAATTTTCTTTGCTTAAACAAATTTTACATATTTTTGCTTAAATAAAACAAATTTCACTTAAATAAAAGTGGACTACAAGATCATGTTCACACTAAAATTGTAAAGGATTCGTATCCAGGTTTGTTCTCACTTTCCATGTAATATATATATATATATATATATATATATATATATATATTCAATACAATAATTTCGAACGCCAATAATTTTTCTTTTTCAATTACGATTTTTAAAAATAGCTTGGGAATTGATCTCATATCAAGATCAAAGTTAATTCGTATCCCAAGTGAAATGAAATAATGATTATAAAATCACTAAACAAAAAATCATTAATTTAATTGCAGTGATGAGAACAGTAAATATATAATTTTGACACAAATATTCATATGCTACTCATTGATGTAAATTTTTAGTGGAAGAGATAAGAAATGATATTTCCCCTAGGCTGACGATGTTAAATTTGGCTATTTGTGATTATTCCAAGCCATTGTATTGTTTGTTCTTGTGGATTGCAATTGCGGTAGCGAGACATGCATGCATATAGCCAGCAAGAGCAAGAAAGTAACAAAATCCGAAATTAATTCACCCCTAAAACAAACAAAACATATTAAAGTGACAGAGACAGGGACGCAGAGGGCCCAATGGCCCATGCCTTGATGCTCACCATTCATTTACGACCCACACTCCCTCTAAACTAAACAAGAAAATACATCCCACCCCTCGTGTGTATCTGACCCCATCCACTGTACAAGATTCATGTATTCCAATTATTAAAAAGTTTTAGTATTATTTTATACCAAGTACCAACTATTTGACCAATGTTTAAGTTGTGACAGTAATGTGATGAGTGTGCCATGAATCAAAGCATTTTTTTATAATATATCAGAGCATTTTATATTTAATGTTACTTCTAATGTGATGACTATTGGAAAATTGCTAAGTTGTAGCAATGCGGTAAGGTAATTTCTTGATTTGTGTGCTAAACCAGTGCGATTTTTATTTGTGTTCTCTTTCTTATCGTGGCCTGCCTAGGCGCACGTTTCCCTGTTATGGAGGAATTATGAACCTCGTATCTCAAAGAAGAATGCAATTGCCAACTCGTGTCGGAGCCTCACAATTTTGGGTAACAGGGAAGGTACACAGAAGAAGAGAGAACCACAGAAAAGAGAGACAACAAAATAATGAGAAAGAAAAGAAAGATTGGGTAGCAGGGAAGCATGTATTATTATTCTCTCCACAACATATCTCATCCAGCTGGACAACACGCACATCTACCCATGTTTATATTGCATAGCCTAAGATCACTATCATGCATACACTTTATCTAAAGTTAACAAACCAAAATTGTTGATATATATATAGGTTCTAACTCAATCTAAAGCGAGCAACTTGTGACGTGTATAATACAGTTGACATTATTTTTACTATAATAATGTTAAAATAGAACAAAAATAATATCTGCTTTACAAAAGGAAAATTGATATCTTTATTTGTATAAAATTATCTTTACATTAGTTAAGGAATCAGTAAGTTGAAATTTTAATTAAAAATTACAAAAAGAAAATGCATAATCATATCTTTAAATAAAATGTTTTTATTTCTTAAACATCGCTCTTAAAGTACTAGTTAGTACTCCTCGGTTATATATTATTATAGAATGTCATTCTTTTGTGTTGAATAAGTGGAATCGTAGCCCAATTAGGTTCAATACTTTATTTACTTCTTCTTTTATTTTTGGTCAACAATACTATATTTTCTTCAAAATGAAAGGCTTTTCTGACTTAAAAATTTGTGGGTCATTATATAATCCAAGTTTACGAAAAAACAATTAGTTGGGCTAAATTGAGCCCAATCTAACTTCATTATTAGCATCCGTTGAAGGAAGGCCTTTGATACGTTTCTCTCTTTTGCAATGACCTTTGAGACTAAATTGATGTAATAAATGGGTCGTTGGCCCAGACAAGAAAAAGCCTCTAACTAAAGAAAGTCAGTGTCCAGCAGCTTAAACACATGGGTCATTACTTTTGGCACCTACTTTTGTTTTTGCTAATTATATTTACACAAATTTATTTTATTTTATTACCCAAATCACTCCTGGTGTTGTCTGCATACTGCACCTTACCTTACGCTTTACCTCTTAAACACAATCCACGCGCGACTCTCTGCTCCTTCAATTGACACACCCAATTCCTTTATTCTCTTTCTGCTATTATCTATTTCAATTGGTTCTATTGAATTTTTAATGTAAATAAATTGGACTCTATGATACCTTTTGGTAGAGGAACTACGGGCAATAAAATTGGGTTTGAAGTTTATGAAAGAGCAGAAGTTGGATTGCTTTTGTGGCCATATATATGTATTCTCCCATAAAACATACGTTGTGCCTATTTTCTTTCTTGGGAAAGACTTAAAAAACATACACCCGAAATTTAGTTATGAAGTCATAGAAGGAAATTTTTGTAAATAAACTTTCGAAGATAGTGAAATACATGGCTTTTTCTTTCAATGACCATAATGTGCTTTTTCTT